ACGTTTTTATGGGCTTGCGGCTAAAAGCAGCTGCGACAGCCACGCCAAGTGAGCTACATAAAGCGCAGAGTGCTGGCTAAGCGATCCAGAGGGTGAGAGAGGGGAGGGGGGGGAGGTGCGATTAGCTGCCTAATTAAAGTTGTTGCTGTTGCTGTAGAAATTTGACTTTGGTATCAAGCACAACTGTACTTCGAGTTCGGCTGATGCTTGCCACCTGGCCTAGAAAACCTTGCGGGCAATTCCCGAGAGCTGGCCGCGTGCCACACTTGCCACAAGCTGTGCTGTGCCGGAGCAAGTGCTTAGAGTGGCCGATTCCAAGGCAACTGGACAAATTAACGTTTAAATAGATGCCGCCTCGCGGCATTTGCTAACGAGCAGCTTATGCGGCACATGTGGACGCGATTTGCTGTGGCAATTCCACGCGGCCAAGCGGAAATACCAAACGGAAATACCGCCAATACGGCGAGCGCCCCGACGCATCGATTGGCCGCCAACTTGACAGCGGGCCAGCGGAATGGCCCGACGGATCAACAAGTGAACGCAGCGAAAGGACACGCCGGACAGCAGGACGGCAGCGCTGAGCGACACCTACCTGGCCTGAGCCAGGGCTAAGCGATTGCTTTTATGGCCCAAACGGCCGCAAGTATGTGGCCCGCGGGCCAAGGGCTGGCCCGCAAATGCGTTTCATAAACAACACAAATATGCATATGAACAGGCAAACATTTGCAGATATCCGCCAGAAAGGTTTTATAGTTTTATAGTATTTTGGTTCGTGTGTTTTTTGTTCCCTTATCAGGAAGTGCGCTAAAAAGCCGGAGCGAAAAAATAAGCACAAACAAAACCATCAACTGCCGCGTCCAGATGTGCCTGCCCTTGGCTTCTATCCTCTATCTCAAGTTCCCTTCAGTAACCTGCTCAATGATTCCTTAGTCCTTGCCCTCCCTTGATTGAAATCAATCGGACTTGCAACAAAAAGCAAAACGAAAACCGAGAATAGAAAATAGAAAAAGAAAGTCGGATATGAAAAATCTAGCATTCGCATTCACAATTCTCGACAATTTCAACATTTCGGGCACGTTCCCAACTAAACCAAGTGGCCCTCTCTGCATTGGCTGCGATTTCCAGTTCAAGTGTTTCGATTCTACCCCGCACAATTACGGCGGATCGGGTATAACTGTTTCAACATACCAAATGCAGGCTTACCTTTAATGTGCGAGAAATGTACAGTTCGTGTTTTTTACAGGGTATCTTATCTCTAGCAAATTACTAACTGTTCAAACCCCAGTTTGTGTAGGGTATCCCCAAATAGGTGCCAACTATGATAGCGCTGAATGCCCTCGAAGTTGGTTTTACAGGGTATTTTGGTAAGAAACAATCGCTGTCCATTATGCGCACTGCATAACAACCGAAACCGATAGAAATTCTCAATTTTACTTTTTATAGGGTATTTTATAGCATGCTCTAATCATACACACAGGATATACTTAGCTAAGGCATAGCTTGAGCTGAAATGAAATGGAATAATCATATATAACTACAGCGGTGTCCATTTGTATTTGGAGAGGGTATCTTTATATGCAGTTTTTACAGGGTATCTAAAATTACTTTTTACATATTTAAATCGGATGCACTAATTTTGCCATTCGCCTAAACGATTTGCGTATGTAAGCAGCTAATACACACACTTTGTACTTTTACAGGGTAGCTCAGGTACAAAATACACATAAAATATAGTGAACTATTTTGTGTTTGTTGCTGCAATCAATCGCAATTGATTTAAGTGCAACACTCAAGTCAGTTTCAGCTCCAAGAATTTACAGGGTATCTTGTGGCTTGATCTCCAACTGGCCAACTGACCGCTTGTCCCTGTCAGTGAATGTCAATTGCTCAGCTTGCTACAAGGCTGCGAACACATCGAGTGGAGCACAGAGCGGACCAGTGCTTCGGTTCGCCATGGGTAACTCCTGCAGTTGGATACTCCCAAATTGATGGGGATACTAATTGACAGCGATTGCCGAGAGGAGCACTGGACTGGACGGGAATGCGATTGCGATTGCGATTCCGATTCCGACTGCGATTGCAGCTGTGCCAAGTGGTTGTCTATTAGATGCTGCTCCATCTACGAGCCGGAACTCTTTGGAACTCTTTGCCCAGTTGCAAGTGTGAAAATGTGTGTGAGGTGCAGTAATACCCATTGAAAGGGTTCTAAAGTGGGTCTGATTGCACTTGAATAACCAACAAAACAACAAACAAATAAATTGATGAAAGTGTGTGCATTAGAGTTGTAGATCATTTCTTTAAGAAGAGAAGCAGCATATTCCAAACCACTTGACTAGTCGAGCCTGCTCAGCTAGCATATACCCTGTAGCTAGCTCCAGCTTGACAGCTGTGGCTGTGCTTGTCGAAAGCTTTATGATTTTACTTTTAGTCTAAATAAATATCAAAAAGTAGATCTTCAAGTTCCAGCAAATATCAAATCAAATATCTCAACTATATCCCGAACGATTGGATATTTATAGAGTATACAAGTATATGACGTTTAGTAGAAGTCATATGCAAAATTTGCTGGCTTTCATAGCTAGTCTAGTTATACCTTGATCCCATATAGGCATAATGTTCTTGTGCAAATGTATGTAACAGTCAGAAGGAAGCATCTCCGACACTATAAAGTATATATATTCTTGATCAGCCATGTCTGTCTGTTTATTCGTCCCATTGTCCAATTATAGCTAAAGACTTGAACGTAGGTCCTCCTAGTGTCCGCACAGTACGAGTTTTGTTTCCGATAATCGATAACTTGCCCCGTTTCCAAGCAATCGATAAAAATCGATATCTCAGATTTTTAGAGTTTGAGTTACCAAACTTGACATGTAGCTTCTAGAATAGTATATACAAGTGGAGTGTCTATTATTTTATAGATATCGAGCTGGATTTGTAGTTAGTAGAAGAAGTTTCAGGGTATCCCCAAGTCGGACACTCCCGCGCTTTTTTACTTTTGGTTGTTTTTTAACTAAATCATTTTTGAAGAAAAATATATTTTGATTCGGTTGTTAATATTCGTGGAACTGGTTCGGTTCATACGAGTTTCAGGCACGAACTGGTTCCATTCAAAACTCGTTTGGCTCGTCGTCTGCTTTTTTCTTAGTTAAACTTTTATGATCTCTGCTTCGACTATGCAGCGTCTTCTTCTTGCTTGAAAGCCTCCAGCTAGAGAACTATTTTCTGTAAGTTCCGGAATGGCCTTTATTTTGAATGCTGGACTGGCAGCTGCTTCCGTTTCCGCTTGCTGCCCGGAGTGAAAGTCACGTGCTGGCTACGCAAAGCAAACAAAATTGAAAAATTCGAAAGTTGGAAAGTCGGAAAATGTGCAACTGCAGCGCCAACTGTTTAGTTTGGGCAACTGTTTGGACAACGTGCATTGGACGCCTCACAGCCCGAGGTCAAGGTCCGGCATCCGGTATTTGTTTAACGCACTCGCAGATAAGCGGCAAAGCGAAATGAAAGGGAAAGAAAAACCCTGAGCTGAATTCCATTTCGGATTTGGAAAATTGTCAACCGCACAAACGACTTTGTAGTTGGGTCATAAATTTGGGAAAATTGTTGTGTAAATTGTTCTGGGCCGGGGGGAAATTCCAAACTGCGGGCCTGTTGCGATTGCGTGTGAAAATGCAACAATCCACATTTCCTGCCGATAGTCAAATGAGCTCCGGCCAAGGGCCAAGAACCAAAGAGTCGACTCGACCCGACTCGAGTCGCAACCTTTTGACACCAGCCAAATAAATGGGCTGCACCCAAAACATCAGCGAGCGTGTGGGAAAAGTAACGCCTCAACCCTTCACCCAAAAATCTCAACAGACGGGGCTGGCTCTGTTTAGACTCTCGAATCCCAACCATGGCTGAGTGTTTCCCAGGGCTATTTACCCAGCGCTCATCTTTGGGAATGTGCGGCGAGTGTGTGGCAGTGGGAGGGGCGAGCACAGCTCGTTTGGATTGTCCAGAGCCAAGGTTTTTCCAAACGGCAAATATGAGAATACATTTGTATGCGATTTTCAGCTCCAAAAGGAAATCAAATTGCCTTAAGGAAAACTAATCTTAACGCCACAGCGGCCATAATTGTTCTTGCTTTTCCTCTTATAGTTGGCAAAGGGAAACAACTTCTTTAGCTCAAAGGCGATAATCAAATCTTATATGAGGCTTTCCTAAATTAAGTATTTTTCAAGTGCAAGCTCTGCCCCTGAGAGTACCTCAAGGAAGTGTCTTCTGGAAGTTTCCAAATGCTTTTCGTCTCAGCTTTAAGGTCTAAACCTTTTCTTTAAACTATTTTCCCACTTCATATTTATTATATATATATTTGAACTGTGCTCTAGTTGTTTCCAGCTGCTTTTATTGTCAAGTTGCTTGAATGTAGCAACAAATCCTTAACCAATAACGCTTCTTTCTAGTAATTTCTGTTGTCGACTTATAGGAAAGTCCTACTTCGGTCTGGAGATATTTAAAAATACAATTTTTCTTCAATTAACGTTTATTTATGTACTGGACTTTACTTCAATTAAAATATATTGTAGTAAAGCTTTGCGTTCTAATTTCATCAAATAATTTCGGATCTTTAAAAAATAATAATAATAATCACTTTTATTCAATTTTTAAATCCAAATTATAATTAACTTGTGTACTTTCCTCATATATAGAAATATAGATATTGCCATTGGAGGATTATTTTTATTTTAATTCCCGAATAAGTCAAATTTAAGACTGCATGAGTCTGCTTGGCATCGACTTATGATCATACATATATAATAGACATGAATCCAAAATAGTTTTACAAATTCGAGCAACTACAATTATAGCTTAGATTTTGACCATATCTCAAGAAAAATGCAAAATCTTAAGCAATTAGCGGGTTTTTTCAGCACTCAAACTTTCCCTTTCAACTAGACTTAAAGTGAAAGGCATTTAGGTATGATAAAGAGCTATGGCATATTCTGGAATGTCATTTGGATATTTTTAAATAAAATTTTGTGCTTGAATAACAGGAAAAAGTTTGGTTGAGTAATAATAGAGTTTGATTGCCTGAATTGAGCTCAATTTCAATTGGGCAGCCTTGAAGAGCAGAAAGAGCAGGAAGAGCAGCCGCAGCAGCAGCAGCAGCAGCAGGAGGCGCAGTCATAAGTATTTCTGGCCAAGAACAGAATCTGGTCAGGACGCACGAACTCCATTCAGAAAATTTCATGTGAAATGTGCGTCGACAAACTGTCAATAAAATGCCTCTAAAGATTGCCGTTCGTGCATGATCGAAGCGCAGCTGTTCTCTGTCCCGTCTGATGTCCTCCCATTGTCCCGGCTGGCTGGCTGGCTGGCTGGCAACTTGTCCGGCGTCAACGGCGTTTGCACAACAATGGGCCACAATCGGGCCATGGGCCAAGGTTAGGCGCAGTCGCAGCGCCGCACATGAAATCGAAATGGAATTCGAAATCGAGCTGGAGGTCTGTTTTTGGCCTGGACTCAAATTCGATTGCAGTCTGTATAAAATGTGTATAGGGAAAAAGGGTTGCCTATAAATGCGGCAAAATGGCCAAAATGGCAAAGGCCAGAACTGTCCAGTTTTCGAGTCTTATGAAAATCCATAGATTTTGAAATTGAAAATCCATCAAGGGAATCCGTGCGACAAGGACAATCGGCCAGGTAAGCCGTGTGCATCATTTAAGGCCAAAAGGACATACACACACGTGCACGGGCTTTTGGGCCAGAAACGGAGCCGCGTCATAAAACGGCGGATTAGCCAAAAACGAATCAGGTAAACGCGTTTGCCAAAAATGCAAACACAAATTCCGGGAAATTCGCGAAAATCTACCTGAGCCGCCGGCAAGCCGAGCCAATGTCCAGGCTATATAAGAGCCAGCTGCCGGGCGTTTAGGCCAAACAGTTGACAAAAACGCAGCGGCGAGTAGACAACGCGACTAACTCGTGCCATAAATATCTATAATATAGAAAATACTTGAATTAAATACTCAATTAAACGTACGAAATGGGTTGCTGTGCGAGCAGTTTAAAGTTGGATACGAATCGCAGTTTGAATGGCAGCGTCTATGCCTCAAAGCGCAGCCGCAGCGGCAGCAGCGGCAGTGGCAGCAGCAACAGTGGCAGCAGTTGTGGCAGTGGCAGCAGCAACAGCAGCGGGCTGGGCAGTTCATGCAGCACGCCGCAACGCAATCGCAGCATTTGGAGTCGCAGCCAAACGCGACCCATTTGCGATGATTTTGCCGAGCAGCCGCTGCCGCAGCTAACCGAACTGGAGGCGGAACACGAACTGGAGCGCTCCTGTGGTTATCATACATGCAGCAGCGACTCCTCCACGCCCAGCAAGCAGCAGCAGCAGCAGCAGCATCAGCAGCTGTATCGCACCCAGGACATGGAGCTGGCCAATCAAAGCCAGCAAAGCAGCAGCAGCAGCAGCAGCAGCAGCTTGGGCGTGGGCAACCTGGAGTGGGAGATGTACATGATGCAGCATGCCCAGCGCATTATGCCAAAGACCTCGTCGCCCATCTGCCAGCGCCGCGATGCCACATTTGAGCTGAACTCACGCTCGTATCACAAGTGGCGCAACTATTTGCAGAGCACGCCCGCCCACATGCTGCACAATGTCAGCCACATACCGGAGGCGATTGCGGGACACTTTTGTCCCAATGACTTTCCCGCCTTCAGCGATCTGGAGGAGATGGAGAGTGCGGCCAAGCGTTTCAAGATCGATACGAATGCGTCCGTCTATGCTGAGAACTATCCGCTCCAGCAGCATCTGACGCATACCATAAGCACAGATCTGTGAGCGGGAGCAGGCAGTAGGAACAGTAGGAGCTGAGCTGATGTCTGATGTGTGTTCGGCAACTGGACTGGGCTCCGCTTGGTACGGAGTCGTTGCGGTTGCCCTCACATTCCGTGCGTCGACTGCTGGCTACTGGCAACAGGTTGTCGGTCAGTCGATCCATCAACTGAGTCAACTGATTGACTCGACATTTTTGCAACATTTTGTAAATACTTGCCAAACTGTCGGTCAATCAGTTAGACAATCAACAAATCAATCAAACAATCGATCAATCCATCAAGCAGACAATCAATCAATCAAGTAGTCAATCAGTTGCTCGAGTGCAACATTTTGTAAATACTTCTCAAGCAGACAATCAATCAAGTCAATCAGTCAGCTCACCAATTTTTTGACAATCAAACAATTTACCTAGCTGCATACACCAAAACAATCAATCATCAGTCAATCAAGCAACACAGATCACTTTGTAAGTGTTTTCCTTGTAAATAATTCGCAATTGCCTAGCAAAGATATCTATATTCGATTTATTTTGTGTTTAGTCCTAAGACGAAAATTTAATTTAATATCAAACACTTTTTTTTTTGTCACAAAATAAAATCAAATTTTAAAAATGTATTTTAATCAAGATGAATTTATAAATTAAATGAACAAATCAAATTAAATATTGAAAGCATACATTTTTCAACAGGCTTTTCAATTTGAAATGAATTAAAGGCACATCCAGTCCCGCCCCGAGGACACACTCTTGGGGCTGGCACTTTGTGGGCTTTCTTAATTAGTCAAAGCAAACAAATGAAAAACAGCAACAACAACAGAAATCAGCAGCTGCTGCTGAAGCTGCTCGCATTGCTGTTATTGTGTGCGACAGGTCGAAGGTCGATTGTCGCCTAGCGCCTGCACTCGTATTTCCGCTTGGCCAACTTCTCGCAAATTCTTGGTAAGAAGTAGCCCAAGTAGAAAGCTGACCCTCCCCCTCAGCCCATTTCTAAAGGCAAGGAAACATAATTTTCGCCCATTGCACTCAAGATTGGTTTGAACTTAACATTTCATATCTTATCACTTTTCAGTTAATCTTATTCGTAATTACTTCATTGAATATTTTCCTTTTTTTTCTGGCTCTCTCTTTCACTCTGTTTGTCCATTCGGTTATTCATTTCATTTCTTTTCTTACTCTCACTCTCTGTCACTCCCTCTTTCTTTCTTTCTTCCCACTTGTATCTCATCATTATTATGCTACCCATTTTGATCCTTAATTGCCTGTTATTCTGTCATTCTTTGTTTCTTCAACATGTTCTTGCAAGTGTGACTTGTTTGTCTTTCCGCCATTTTATAAACTTCTCTCTATTTTCTTCGTATACATATTTTTCAGTTTCTCTCGTAATGTTTTCTTTTGGTCTACATTTTCCTTTCGCTCTGCTGTAATTGTTGCTTGTTGCTTCAACTTTTGCCTGCGTCTTTCTTTTCTTTTCTCTAAAATTGAGATAAGTTTCGTGTAGGGTATTCGTTGTTCGACCACAAATCGATAATTATTTATTTGTATTTTTTCATTGTCAGTTGATTTGTGGCTTTGCTTTAATTGGATGCCCTTTAACCAAATTTCGCAATTTGGTTCAATTAATTATTGGACAAATTATAAATTGAAATGTGAATATTGCGTATTCGCCGTGTGCTCGGTATTAAATTGTTGCCTTTTTTCTTTCTGCACGTGTGTGATTGTGTTTGTATGTGTGTGTGTGTGTGTTATTCATAATGCGCATTGATTTTTGCCATTGGTCAGCTGCCCCTCGCCCCCGCCCCCGCCTCAAGCCCGCCCCCGCCTGTGTGCCACCCCATGATTCGACTATTATTCAGTTGGCTTTGTGCTGCAATCAAATCAAATCATCAAATTGAAGTGGAGGCAACACAGAAATTATTGTTGCAAGTTGCAACTTGTTAACATGCAACTTGCAATCGCCTTGAACTTTGCCTTCTTGAAGCCCATTTCAAATATTCAAACTTGTCGCAAGAAACTTATTAAATTGATTACAATTAAAGCGCTTCCCGTGAAGTTAAAAAAATATATTATTTAAAAAGTTACAAAAAAAGATATCATGCGGACTTTATAGCTATGATGGGAGTGACGCACAGTAAAGCTCATAATTCCAGAGTTGGGTCACAATATCTTTGATGACAGAAAAGCGTACATATAAATATATATGTATATATAGCATTAGGGGAGGAATGGTTTGAAAAATGAGTAACGTGTTCACATATATATTCCGATCTCTCATATATTAGCTGCTTGGTAAGACTCGCAGATAACAAGTTTGGCGACGATCTAAAAGAAGAACTTAACTTTTTAGCGATAGTTCCTATGTCAGCTATATGATACAGCTTTCCGATCCGGCCGACTTTAACATAAATACTGCTGCTGCGACGGAAATGGGACCTAGGCAAGGTTTTAAGGGGATAGCCTTAAGACTGAGCGATCAGCTTGCATAGAAACATATTGACAGCTATAGGTTTATCGACTCAGATGGGATCAAGACTATCTATAGAATGTATATATATATATATATATGTGTGTTAGTGACAAGATAATAGCACCATTTATAAGGGTATGTATATGAAAAAAGGGTATACAAGGTTGCTCAAGCTTATTTTCGACCGATTGCCCACACAGCATTATATAGAGCTACAGTCCACAGCAATCTAGACAACATTTCATATGGATAGCATTCAAATTGTAGGACAGATATTGCCTTGATTAGGACTATATATATACACTATGTGGTGTTAGATGTTTCCTTCTCGTACATTTTATATTGTATAAATTAAAATTAAGTGCAACTCTGTTATATATAAATCCATATGTACGCATTAACATATATCTAGTACAACTGAAAGCAACTAACAGCTAACTAACTAACGAACAGTTCGCCTGGAACACTTTGGAATTCTTATCGCCAAATCAAACTGATATAGTATGTATGTATTTTTAATGGATTTATAAATGTTTCCTTTTTTTATGTGTTGCCTGTATCGTGACACAAGTGATTATAACTTAAGCAGGGTATTCAAAAAAACGTTGAGTGCAAAGTTTGGTAACAAATGCTCAAAATATTTGTTCAAACTTTTCACAGAATACGAAAGCAACAATAGTAAAAATAAAACAGCACGACGACAATTCATTCGATTGTTCATCATTTAATGCAAGTAATATTGATTTTGGAGCTCCCCCCCGCAAGCCCCCAGCCTGCCCTCCATCCGCACTCAAGTTGTAGCCAGGCGTTTTAGCCATGTCAAGTATCTTTGGGCCCATGTCCAGTCGTCGTCGTCGTCGTCGTCGTCGTCGTCGTCGTCGTCGTCGGCGGCGGCTTCTTGGCCTCATCATTGTCATCGTCATCGTTATCGTCATCGAGGGGCCAATGCTGACAGGCTGCCTTGGTTGCCCAGCTCAACAATTGACAAAGCCTTTCACCCGTCACCCACCACCCGCCTCCCAATCAGCGATTTGTATGGACCCCAGCACAAGTGCAGCCCTGACATTGCGAGCTGTTTGCATTTTTAAGCTGCCGCCACCGCAATGACGTGACAGTGTTAGCCATAATTGTGCCTCGCGCATTTGTTCAGTCAGTCAGTCAGTCAGTCAGTCAATCAGGCAGTCAGTTAGGCAGACCGTCAATCAGTCAGACAGTCGGCCAGTGCCTGTGACCCCTGCTCAGGTGGAAAGTCGCGTTCTAAGGTTACGGCGTGGGGTCAACTGCAATTTGAGTCGCATGTTCGTACACTGAGCGAAAATAGTGTGTAACTAAAGTCAACGGTTTGACTGCTCGACTAGCAGTTGCTCTGTAAATCTAGCTGTTATTTATATTCGATAAATGACAGACTTTCAGATATAAATACTTCTCTACTTTATATTGATTACTTTTGGGGTTTTATTACTATTTTGAATTCCCATTTATTTTCCATTTATTTGTTCTTGCTTTAATTTATCATTGTATCCTTTTTCTCTATGAGTACAGAGAGGCTTTACAAATTTTCAATTGCTGCTGAATTCGAACCAGCGAGCTCTCGCTTGCTGAATCGACGCACAGACAAACTTTGGCCACAGTTTTTATCTTTTTGGGCATCTGCACAATTTATATTGTTTAGTTCAATTTTTAATTTTATTGCAAATCCATTAATGTGCCATTTCTTACACAACCTTTTGGCTCAGTGTACATTGACTTAATCGTGTCTATGTGCATTGCACTTTGGTCGCTGTCAAAACGCAGAGACAACCCTTAATCAAATGCCAGCAGTGGCAAGTGCACAGTGTCCGACCACGCCCACAAACCCTTGCAACCGCCCCTTCCCCGCACGAACAACACTTGGCCGGAGACAATTGCAAATGTTGCTGTGTGGGTCGGGTGGGGTAGATACATTTGCACCTTGTGATCCTGCAGAGCCTCAAGGCGAGGACCCGCCTTGATTATTGCAAAACTTTTTTGCAACCTCCTCTCAATCTCAATGCATGCTTTTTGTTGTCGTGACAAGGGGTGGCATAGGGGAGAGGAGGAGTAGCAGGAGGAGGAGGAGGAGAGGGGTCGGGTTGCTCGGGGGCTAATAATATGAAATAATTTTCAGATGCGAAACGCACAATTTAACAATTTTATGTGCAGACTGCGCAACTTTTTGCTCGGAGGACAGCCAATTGTTTATGTGAGTGTGACAAAAGTTTTACACCATGTGTGTGTGTGTGTGTGTGGGTGTGCCTGTGTATTCGAATGGACATGCACATAAAAATGATATAGAATTATTAACTTTCTGGGTTCCGAATTGAGCGATAAAAACAACAAAAACTGGCCCCAGGCTCGGTGCCTTTCATTGTTGGCCACTTCCGATGGTCAAAGGGGGAAGAGAAATGACAAAGCGGGGCTTTGTGTGTGTGTGTGTGTGTGTGTGTGTGTGTGTGTGTGGTGTGTGGGTTAAAAGGACTACATAGCTCTGTGTGCCCAGTAATAAATAGTAAATCGAGCTATTTTCTATGGAATTTATGCGAAAAATGCGTTCAAATGAAATTGAAATAAAAGCTCGAGGGGAGATAGGGACGGAGTGGGTGCGCAGGGCGGGGCCGGCTGTGTACAGGGGTGTAGCATACATTATATGTGACCCTGCCATAGAGGTGTGGAGGGCGGGGGGGAGGGGGGGGAGGTCCTTTGATATTATTTACGAGCTGTTTGTGCATTATGCAAAACCTCACAAATACAAAATATTGAATTAATATGAAAAAAATTGTTTTCAACTGAAAAAAGCAATTTGAAACAAATGGAAATTGTTGCGTACCTCATAAATGTGTCTTTGAATTAATCATGAATTAAAGCTGATTATATACTA